TTGAAGATCCTTGCAGATTCCTTCCAACCCAGAATATTCTGTGATTCATTCCGGGATTCCAGAGCCACCACACCTGCTCCTCCATTCTAGGAAGACCACCTTTCAAAGTTCCTTCTTGCAGGGAAATTAGGTGATTTCTGTTCTTCATCAGGCCTCCAGACAGAGGACTGCGTGGGTAATGCCTACTTGCTCTGCATTAGTTCTCCTTCTGGCACTGAAAATGCACGACCCTTCTTACAGCCCTGCTTTCAATTTCAAATCAGTTGTACCTGTTGCAAATTCATTAGCAAAAGGGGATATTATCAATGTAGGAGACTCAGTTTACCTTGTAGGTTTTTGTAATTAAATAAATCTTCCAATTCAGTAACATTTATATTTTTCAGTGTCCTCTAAATTCTGATACCGCTAATTACCATATGCAGATGAAAAGTTAGGTCTTTCCAGGTTTAGAGTTTTTGAAGACTGGCAAGGAGAAAATAGGTTTTTTCCTTTAAATCAGATGAATTCATGCACACCTACAAAGTAGAAGGAAAAATGTGTCTGCATTTTAGATGTCATAGTAGAGGAGAGAGGGAAGAAAAATTTAAAATAGAGTGTTTCATCCTTCATTCAAATAGTTAATAATGGGGGGGGGAGTGGTTTCTAACATAAAAAGTAGGAAATAAAGAATGAAAGTTTAAAAAAGGGGCAATTATTCACATAATTTCTTCCCATAACCTCCAGAGCAGAAAAATATTTTCTTTTACTATATGATTTCTTAGTTTAATTACTACCAACGACATTAGAAGTTTTTACAGTACATTAAGCATTGTTGGTTTAGAAGGAAAATTATGCATTTTGCTTATCAAGAGCAGAGTAATGCTCAAATAAAACCATTTGTCTTACAAAAGCAAGTCAAAAAGGTATTAAGTTTGGAAGGAACTAAACCAAATACTAAGTAACATTTTTAATTGGGTCATTAGCATTTTAGAAGCCAAGCAAGAAGGACTAGTCCCTGCCATATACATAAACAAAAAACAGATATCCAGTATGCAGCTCAATGTGTGTTTTAAATAACCGCTGAGTACTAACTTAGGCCTCTTCACTGAATAAAAATCTGAATATCACCCATAAAATGCCATTCTATCTGCAGCAATGGAAAGCTGCAGTCTCAGTTTCAGAATATCAGCTTTTCAGCAGAAAAAAGATAATCCCAAGTAATTTTTTTTCCAGATTTATTTCTTTCTTTTTAAAGACTTTCCATTATTTGCGTCTATCTAATTCTTTCTCGTCCAAGATGATGTTCATTCCTTTTCAGTGGTCTTCTAGGACAGAAAACTAGAATGAGGAAAAATACTGCACTCAAGAAGAAAACCACTGTTTGGTTTTAACAGGTGGTCTATTTTTAAAAATAGGTTGGGGTATAAAATTAATCCATCAAACAAATGAAAAATCTGTAGCAGTCTCACAGCACTTATAAGGTCTGTTTGAAGGAGCAGTTTGTTTCATTGCATGAGTTGCTACTGAGGAACATACATTAGTGCTCGAAAGCTATGGCTCATTTTTTGCCAGCTAATATTTCCTTACACAGTGTTACCTAATTAGTGTCCTTAAACCACAGCCATAGAAAAACCCTATTACCTTATGCAGCCTTTATGGCTTTTATTTCTCATGGTGCTGTTCTGCTGATGTGCCTAGCAGAATGAAGTTATTCATCCAGACGGACATTTTTCTGCATCATTGTGTCCTTGCAATTTCAAAGATTAGAAACAACTTAAGCATTCCCTGGGGTAATCCATACTCTTCTGCCTCTGTATTTTAGGCTTATCTTGTATTGCTATCATGATTCATCCCTTTGTGCTTCTCCCATTCTAAATTCTGTATATCTGTTTGTCACTACTAGAAACAGCACTTTAAAAACATGACACTATGTTTATCTGTGAGATGCACATCATGGCTTTCACATCATGGCTTTCAGATGCAGTATCTGCTCTGCATCCAGATAGTCTGAAGGCAAGGTTCTTACTGATTAGCTTGTTTAAAAGAATCAAAACCAATCAAAAACCAAACAAACCAACAACAAAGCCCCAAAACCAACTAAAAATGAAAAAACTTACAACAGCACCAAACCTCACTAAGATTCAAAGATTCAAATTAACTCCTGGTCAGAATCTCTACATTAAAGATGCCAAAATGTTACTAGGAATGTAACTCAGTGCTACTATTCTGCATCCAAAACTCCCATTCTCAATAGTATTCACCATTAAAGAAGCTGGTCCTAAACATAAAAAGGCAACTGACATTTACATAAAGACTTCTCTCAGCTTCTGCGCTGTTTGAATTAGATATGTTACCTTAAGATTCCCACAGGCTACAACCTGTTTCTGTAACAACTTTGCCATTACTTTTGACGTTTTATTTTTCTATTTCAAAAAAAAAGGAAAATTCCTCTACATTTTACTTCATTATACTTGAAAGCAAATCAAATGGAAATAACGGCTTTAAATAATACTCTGGGAAAATACATACACTGAGTGACTATATTTATGCTATATACATAAATATAGCATATATATTTATGCTATATTTATTTATATATCTATAAATATGGCTCTTAGCAATAGAAGCAATAACACTTGAAGCAAAGTAAACACAGTCTCTCTCTTTTTGGTTTTGGTTGTTGTGCCAATATTTTTTATAATGTTGAGGTGAATAATTGAAAATTCATTTCACAAATATTTAATTTGTGCCATAAGACGGTAGTAGATCTGTACTCCAACCAGACTCAGATTATACCTTTCTCTGCTTGCAAGTATCTCAGCAATGTGAGATAAGGATAACATGTCAGCAAAAGAATCATCTTCTTGATACCTCAAGAAAGATATTAGTTCTGTTACAAATTCCTGTTATACTGAATCATGTTAGAGCTCTCCCAGCAATAAATTACACAAAGTGAAAACAAATAAACTCCAGATGACTGCAAAAGTGTATCATTTGAAAGAAAAATAAAGCCAAGAGGTAAAATCTAAGAATGAAGTTTGAAATTCAAGCTCTACTTTTTACTGTCAAATTACTAAGCATTCCTTTAAAAATGTTTTTTCTCTGTGCTCATTATTGAGGACTGGGTTTTAAAATAGTATGTACTGCTTTCGGTCACCTACTGTGATTTTGAACACACGTGTTCTTATTTATATATTTCTGACAATGTCTGAGAGAAAGAATTTGTTGTATACACGTCCTAAATCAATAATACATTAATGTTTATCATCTTCAGAAAGAAAGTCTGTACCTAAAGGCTGTGGTTGGCTCTTACCTATATGACAAACCAGACTTCTGAACTAACCAGACCAAAACCTACAAGTGATTGCAATCCCGAGTAACACTCTGCAGTTTGAGCAAAATACCACTACAAATGTAGAGCTTATGGGGTTCTTTTTTTGTGTTTGGAAGACTCTTCTACTTCTCACTTAAAGTAAAAAGTGGTATTCCAGGTGTTTAACATGTAACTGTCAAAATAGATGTCCAAATAATCTACTAAATTTGGGTCAGTATAAGTCACGAAAAAATAAACCCAGATATCCCAAGCAAAAAATATGGTAAGTAGTTTTCACAGCAATGCCTGGCATACACTTTCTATTAGCAGAGGATTCTTTGTGGGTTAAATATAATGAAATAAACCTAATAACTGGTGCCAAACTAAATGGAGCTGCAACATTAAGCTAAGAAGTTCAAGAAACAAGCTATTTTAATCTCCTTTGGCAGAACCCATCAGCTGCTCCCAAAGCAAACAGAATCTACAACTTACCCAGAAACTGGGCTGAATTCGTAGTAGAACATTCCTTCCTATGAAAAAACTTGCACAAAGATGCCAGATAGAGTGGGGCAGAAAGTCCTTTCCACTAGTTGGTTCAGTGAGGGGTGGGAGCAGAAGGCTGTCACAGGGCGGAAGCGCAGCCCAGGTACCCTGGTGGGAGCAGGAGCTGGAGAGGGGCAGCTAGAGCTGCCTGCTGGCTCTCTGCCCTATCTGCTCACCATTTGTAGCCTCTCTGTCTGGGCTCTGGGCATTCTGCAGAGGACCCCGCACTTCAGAGAGATGCAGCTTGAAGAAATACTGAATCATAAGATGAATAACTCTCCTTCTGCAAAGAAATGGACACCTGTCCCAATTCTTCCCCCACCTCTACATTCTGCTTCTATAAAAGTGTGCAGGAGGGGATTTTTCTCTTCCAATATTTGAACATACCCTTGCATTCAATCACTCATTTCACATGACAGTTCTGATGGTTGTGATACATTAATGACCAACATGAAAAATGCTATTGGTGTCTATAACAATGCAAACAACAGATAAACAATTGAGTCCATCCTATTACTGATGCAGGTAATTAGCCTCACTGTTGTTATATACTACACAACATAAACTTTTTGTTTTCTTTTTTTCCACAAGAGAATCAGGAACTTTTTTTAACACCTCTTAAATGTTATTGTTTCTGGACTAATCATATACATAGATAAGTAGAGAAAAACCTGTGTAATCCTAAACACAATACAGTTAGAAGGAAAAAAACCCAATGGCCCTGGTAATTCTTCTCCTGATATAGCACAGGTTGGTGGGTTGGAGCAGACTTCAGTAGAGAAATGAAATACATTGATTTGCCTATGATACAGCTCCTCTCTATATTTCAGCAATGGTCCAGTGACTCTTACTGAAACTGCACTGATAAAGTTAGTGAAGCCCGTAACAAGATTCTGGTAGGACTTATATATGCGAAATTCACAGCAGATTATGCTTTGTTTCTAGCCTTGCTGGGAAATTCTGGTTAAACCATATGGTATTAGCACCAGTATCTAAAAACCAGACTATAGGTATTTATAGCATAAATAGACTGCTTGTCAATGCATACGATTATTATCCTTTTATCAGTTAAATGTGTAGCTGATTAGTGCCTTTTCTTAATACAAAAGCATATATATATTGCACTTCTAAAAAGTTAACCATAAAAGAATTTTACTTAACTTACCAATTGTTGAAGCTGGAAGGAGTCTTGCCCTAAACTCTACCTGTTCTCAAGTTTGTAATATCTGTGTCTCTCTCCCTCTTTCTCCCTCCCCCCGTGCAGAGATTGCAGTAAACTTAGAAAACTAGCAGGGACAATGTTTCAAATGACTTAAGAAAGAGAACAGGAACAATCATTTCGTTCTCTTTTTTTCAGATGAGTACAGTACCTTCAGAAAGAAGGAAGGAAGGGAGGGGAGAGGAAGTCAACAACCCTTTGCTTTCCTGCAAAAAAATAAGGAAACAGCAGATAGCAATCTCGTTTTCTCTCAAACAAAATGTTTGGAAAAATAAATATGTCCAATCCAAAAGGAATTCCTCAAGTGTTATATCTGCATTATTGGCTTCATAAAACCTTCTTTACGGCTCGTTATGTGCAACTACATGAAATGAATTTCCAAAATAGTGGGTAGGAATAAGACAACCGTCTCTTATGCAGAACAATTAGCCATAAGCTTGCATAGATAATGAAGGTTTTTACTCTGGAGAAAAACGGCTTATAGATGAATACACAGATCTTGTTTCCATGGTGATATAGGTGAAAAAAAACCACCTAAACCCCCTCTTTACTCTGACCGCAGGAAAATATCACATTGGATGTTTATAAAATGCTGTGGGAAAAAAAAGGGGAGGGGTGAAAGGGAGAGAAAAATGTTAAGACTCATAGCTTGATATTGGAGGTACAGCAACAAGTCATTTATCTCAAAGAATTATAGAGGACATCCTGATTTATTCAAGCAAAACCAATGTGCTATGTTCTAGAACAGATTTCATACCTTATTTTGTTTCTTTCTTTCCCCATTAAACTTATTTTGACAAAGAGATACTGGCCAGCTGCCTGGAATTATACGTGGGATAAGTTTAGTTTGTTGTGCTCCACTGTGTTTTTGTTTGCTTGTATCTTTTCCCCTAACTTCATCTATCATCTAAAGGTCACTTACAGTGATTAGATGCTCCCTTTTTTTTCCCGTTAACTTTTTTTATTCTAACATTCTTGCCAGTAAACACCTTCACACTGTCACGAAGTCATGTTATGTTTTTAGTTAGTGTGGTAGTGCAGTACTGAAGATGGAGCTGCTTCTCTACAACCAGTTCAGGTTGAGTTCTGTGAAACACAAAAAAAAAAGCCTTTTCAAGTAGCCTTATCATATACACTCTGCATCCAGACTTTCCCCTGGGAGTAATAGCTAGATCAGTGCTGCTGAAATTTAGTGGAAGGACAAGTTGGTACCTTATTCTTTTATTATAGGAAGTAGCTCTTTAGCACCTGTGTTTCTTCATGTAGTTACTGGTACTATTTCCAGAAGATATATAGCAATTATTTGGCTACATAATAAGCAATTTTCTGGGGTTTATTCTAATATTCAGAGTCTGAAATCTTTGATAATGGGTATCAGTACTTGGCAGAGCAGTGCAGGTGCTATGACCAATCTCTGACCTTACCACATCACCAGGGTTTTCTGAAATGGGCAAAAGTATAACAGGAGGCTGAATTTTAAAAGCAAAAGAATGCAATGCACTTGGGTTGTATATTGCAAATGAAGTCCTTAATTCTCCCCTGGGAGTGGAGGTCCTAATCAAATAGATCTCCTGTGCATACTGAGCACAAGGAAAGTGAAGAGGCATGGAAAGCCACCAAAGTAATGTATTGTCCTGCGGGGTCAGTCTAACAGCTCAAAACTTGTCATTGTGTTTTGAAATTGTTTTTCAAGATCTTGAAGATATTTGCAGCTTCCAGGCCTTTTTAGCTAGTTTAATTAATTTATTTGCCAGGCACAACAGGTTAATGAGACCCTGAAGACTGCCATTATGTAACACTTTGTGTCTCTCCATTGGGAATCCATTGCAGAAGTGTAGTTGAAAACCTATACTGATCAAGTTAGGGTCATTCTTAAGTCACTGAGGGTATGATAGTCTTTGAAGTCCTCTATGAAGCACGTAATTGTCACAGTAGTACTTCTTCAAAGGGTGGCTTTCCCTTTCTTGAGGACTGCAAAACTAAGCAGATGGACACAAATATCTACAAAGCTTCTTGTCCTTCCACTAAATTTCAGCAGCATTTATCTAGCTATTACTCCCAGGGCAAAGCCTGGATGCAGAGTGTATATGATAAGGCCATTTGAAAAGGTTATTTTTTTTTTTGTCTTTCACAGAACTCAACCTGAATTGGTTGTAGAGAAGCAGCTCCATCTTCAGTACTGCACTACCACACTAACTAACAACAGGCTACAAGACTTGGCTATTCTGATTGAAGGAGACTGTGGGAACCCCTTACTTCAGCGAGGACATCAGGAGATGTAAGGTCTTCTTTCACTTAACGCTACCTTGGGTCTCATTGTCAGCAGCCTTTCCACTATTCAAGAGGTCAGGACTTAACTTAATTGCCCAGCCAAGTCTGGGTAAAGTAATATTGCTTCCCAGCATGCAGCCACTGAAACACTTGACCTGTTCTTACTTTTGTCAATTTCTCCCAACTGCTGCCAGAAAATCACAACCCAAGGAGGAAGAGGCACTGAAACTGTGGTTTTCATGCCAGAAAAACACCTTGCAAGGTCATGCCTGTGCAATTACTGCGGAGGAAAAAAAAAAGCATGACCAAAACCAATGGAATCTAGAGTCATGCAAATCATGTAATAAGATATTAAATTATGATATTTACCCAAGTTTTAAGGGACAAGTTAATCTGCTTTTCAGAATATATTTCTGGAAGAAGTGTTTGTCTTTTTTTTTTACCTTTTCTCAGTCTACTGTTACCAAGATGAAGGCACTGATACAAAGTCAGACAGATACAGTGCCAGCCTCAATGCAGTTTGATGAACAACATCAAGTATAAGTATTTCCTGGGTCCAATACATAATGTCTTGTAAGGAGTGGCCACAAAAGAAAACATTCTTGTGTTCATGGTCTGAGTAAGTATTGAGGACCTGGAGGATTCCTCTAATAGCACTCTATATGATCAGACTAGATCTTCAATCAGACTGACATCTGAGAAGTTAAGGTCCTTATTTCTTTTTTTTCCTTCTTTCTTACTCTTTTTACTTCAGTAGGGAATAGATTGTGTTTCACAATCTCTTTCCAATGACAGCAGAGATGCTTTCTATTTTTCCTATTTCCTTATTTTGATGTTTTCAAAATAAGAATGAAATAAACAAGTTCAGCATACTAAAAACAATGAGCATCTATCCAGCACAATAGGAGAGAACACAGAGGTAACTGCATCAGCAATAGTATTACACTTTATCCTGAGAAAAAGAAACAGAGGCAAACTCCAGAAATATTTACTGGTTTTCTTGATTGCTTTAGGACAATAACCATATATATCTGAACTGTCTGTGAAAAAAATAAGATTAATATCTTCCTTCCGGTCTACAGTATACCTGTGGCATTTTAGCTGAGTAAAAATAATACAGTTCTCAATCAGAGACAAAAAACCTGAAGGACACATAATTGTTTTTCATAAGTCACTCTCATCTGTGCTTTTCCTGGTTTCTTTTCTGTATTGCCTGTTTACCATAGATCATTCAGAAACAAGTTGGTAGAATACTAATGGGACCAGAGACAACCAGGGCCGGGCCTAAAGAACTCTCCTCTTCTGTTCTGCAGTGTGTGGAGAACATAGCTCTAGATGTCAATGTAGGGTTATGTTTTGCAACTTACTGTATTGCAACACAATAAGCCTGTGTACACTGATAAGTATTTTGTTCAGTTTCTCAGGCTATAAAATATTAGAATGTTAGATGTTCCAAAGGTTTTACGCTACTGCCTGTCTTTCGTGATTATAGTATGATCAGAGTATTCTCATGAGTATGTGCTTGTACAGCCAAATTTATTATTCTTGAATCTACTTTTTTTTTTTACTTTTGAGACAGGTAGTACCTAACCATCACTTTAACGAACTATTAGCGTTTGCAGACTATAGCCTTTGGACCAACCACATTTGTCAATTGTTTTGGGGAGAGAAATGTGGGAATTTTTATCAAAGAGAGGAGTATTCCTGGCAATAAACACCTTATTATAATTTCAAGTGGCCTTTATAACTTATCCTGGGCCAAGCTCATTTCTGGTAAATGGTATTGGCTGCAGTCTTTAAGGACATGCTTTTCCTGTACCCTGTATGCAATCATCACAACTACCTTTACTAAAACAATAACATCAAAAGCTATTTTAAAGTATGATGGTATGATTAAGAGGATGTGTTTTCATCTTTTGACATACATAAAGTTATGAAAGAAGGATTGTGAACCCTATTCAGGTCAGAGGTGGACAAGAACTTGGCTTTAGTCAGTATCTTTGAATTTGATGTCACACTGAAGATCTGTAACATATGGAAAGCTGCTGAAGTATGCACCAAGTTTTTTGGTGGTTTCTCAAAATGGTAATTTGACAGCAGTAAAGGCTGCAGTTTTATGTCTACTTAGACTGGGTAATAAATCCAGCATTTGTTCTAGTCTTTCTTGGCTATCTTGCTCAATTAAGTGTGTTCATGTGTTCTAATGTCTAATAAGTGTACTGTAGCACCTGAAATTACTTAATTCACTTACAGCTGAAGGCTGGGCATCTAGTGTTGTAAAATGTGTAACTCTTCAGGAAAACGCAGGTTTGCATATTCTTGTTGTGCAGTGATGTTTCTTACTTTGTTAGCTCTGATAATAGAACTATTTCTTCTGTAAACCTGATATTCTATTTCAAGATTAATTAAAAATTAATGTGAATTTATGTGGGTTTTTTTTTTTTTAATCAGTGTCCAGTTGTTGTCATTTTCATTTCTGACCCTTTTCATTTCAGGCCCTTCCTGGGAGCAAAATAGTAGTGCACTTCTGATTTATAGCTGCTAGGCTGTAGAGACAAGAAACCTTCTGGGAAATCTGTACTCCATACCCATGTGAATGTTGATAAATTTTGTCTCTAATGGTTTTTTAAAGTCTCAGAGAGGGGGAGGTGGAGGGAAAGAGAAAGAAAATGAGAAAAAAGGAAGGAAAGAAGGAAGGAAGGAAAGAAGGAAGGAAGGAAGAAAGGAAGGAAGAAAGGAAGGAAGGAAAGAAGATTCCTTCTAGTTGGAGTTTGAGAGTGTTTGTTTTTTTATTTTGGGTTTGGTT